CACAGGTACTTAAAACTCATTAAGTCATTCAATAATATTTTTTTTTTAAATTAAGGTCTTAATTTGCAGTAAAATTCATAAAATGTGATTATCGTGGCATTTAAAATGCTTTATTAAAAAAAAAATTATATAAACAAAAAATTTCATCAGATATATAAGGTATAAATGGTTCGGTGTGTTTAAAAGGAACTGCTTTCAGTTGATCGTAGAGCCGTATGTTTGTAAAAGAGGCTTGAGGCGGAGAAAAAGCTAGAGAATGGGAAAATGCTAATTTCAACTAAAGTTGCTGGAAAACAAGGAATTCAGGACATGGCTGCAGCCTGAAGCCCGCAAAGATGATGAAGGACTTGTTTTGGATGATGAAGGTGTGTTTATATATATATATATATATATAAGTCATGCATTCTTGTTGATGCCATTAAAATAATTTCTAAGAGCATTCAAATAATTAAATTATTGTTTCTTTTTCCTGTTTAAATCCTGAAGCAGATCATGGCTTGTTTACAGCCAAAAGAAGGACTGGGTTATTTACTTTTGCCGTCGCCTTTTTGGAAACACAGGAAACAACAAGAAAAGGGACAAGAAGTGAGGGACAAAACCAATAATAATAATGATAGAACATATAATGGATGTCTATTCTATTAACTATTCTATTAACATTTCTCTATCTGTTTAATGGGTGTTTTATGTGTTGTCTTCTCAATTCAGAGGGCCCCCTGTCTGTCTTTGCCTAGGGCCCCAAATTTCCTTAGTCCGCCCCTGGCTATAGAATAAGGAAAGAATGCCATGTGATTTAAAGAAAAAAAATGTTTTTCAACATTTGTGACATTGACAACATTCATTCTAAACATCCACCTGTGACCTCAGTCTACAAGTCAAAGCTCTCCTCTGTACTTTGGGTTTTCATTCTTCAGCTACATCAGAGTTACGGCCTTTTTTGGAGACCAAAATTACAACAAAATAAAACTATATTTCAGTTTGAAAGATTCTCCCACAGTGAATAGTGAATTTCTCCCAAGAATCGAGCCACATGAGGACATTCCCGAAAGATGTGGAAGTGGTTTGCTAATGTATGTCCATGCAGCCTCCAACAGCTGGTCTGTTGAGGATATGAAGTACTTTGTGTCGAGGAAGAAAAATAAGGGCTCATATTACCTCCAGGACACTTGCTGCAGACCACACTCTGCCCTGCACCATTCCTTATTATTGTTGGACTCTTCTCTCTTTCTTCCTTTTATATAAAATGTTTTTTTGTATGTCCCCTTAAAGAAAAAGTCCGGCCAGCAATGAATAATCAATAGATCATTATTTATACTTAAAACTAATAAGTTTGCACTGATTTAATGAATTTAGCCTTAATCAGTAAAAAAATAAAAATATAGTAACCCCTCCCTCCTGCCATCTTCCAGCAGTGACGTCACGGTGCGGTAAGCCTAGCGCCATTCTCCCCGCTTTACAAGCAAAATCAATGGGAACTACTAGACACATCTGCAATCAACAACAATTATTGAAGATTTCCAGAGGACTTCACCATTGAAATTCACCAGAGCTATAGTGAAACTGACAATGCCCACGTGCATGGCAGTACATCGGGTAAAAGTGAAAAAAAAGTTAGTTATTCCACCTTTCCGATTCCTGATCCTCCACGGACGGGTTGGTCGTTGGATCGCCAACTTGAAGAGGGAGGATTTACCATCGAACTTCTGGCCAGAGAAAAAACCCGTAATATGTAGCCAACATTTGGAAGAAGAATGTTTTCAAGATGACTTGGATAATAGCGCGTTGTGACAAACACCAGATACAGCACTGGGACTTGATCAACAGCCGATACCGCACCGTGACAACGTCACTAACCAGTAGGTGGCAGTAGTGTTCTTTGACAAACATGGATGCCTCCAGTAAAGCACATTCAAATGCAAATTACTCTGAATTAAAAACACTGATCATTTATTGAACAGGATGGAAAAATTTCATATTTAAAGTACTTTCAGAAGTTTGTATTCTGAATATGAGCAGACTTCTCCTTTAAGTCCTGTGGTCTTATGGAATTTGGTGATTATTTTTGTAGTGTACATATCTAGTGTTGAGAAAAATCTCTGCGTTGTAGGAATCCTTACAAGTTTACATAGAGAGGCTGAAGTTTGAGATCTGATCCTGCTGGCCTTTTTTTTAACTATACATAATACTGCATTCCCAGAATGTTGACTGGGTTCTTGTTGGGGCTTGGAGTTGATTACGTTTGTGATTTTATTTTGTCCACAATGGCCCGCTGGTCCCCTACAATTCCATATTAAACATCAATATTTGTACTTAAATATTCTTTCCGTCATAATTTGTGGACATTAAGATCTAAAGAGAAGCGCCACCTCCTGGCCAGACCCTGTAATTTAGTGAAAGGATGGAGTGAGAGTAAAAAAATATGCATGAGGGGGGAATTGCAGTGGCTGGTAGTTGGAGGGGATTCTGCTGGGAGTGCCAGGGTAGTTGCTATTCAGCTGGCGTTATACTCCCCGCAGCAGTGTGTCGCAGTGAATTTGTCGCAGGTAGGACGCAGATATTTTAGATTTTCCCCCAATTTTGAAGCGTGTTCTGTGCTATGTTATTCCACGCCACAACGCAAGAGGGACAATACGGAAACTAGCTGAGGGTCTAGATACGGCCGAGGCCCTGAGGAAGTGGGGGCAAGTTTGTGCGACAACAGAGGGACATGAGGGCCAAAAAGAGCGGGGATCCGGGTGGAAAAAGGGTCCCAGCGTTTTCGCGCACCTTGCTCCTCTAGCTGGCCTCTTCTAGCACTTCTCTGCATTCACTGCGACAAACACTCAGACGGCCTGGTTTCTGAGTATAAATCGTTTGTGTATAAATTTATTCAGCAGCTCCCGGTTGTAAAAAAACAAAACNAGCACTTCTCTGCGTTCACTGCGACAAACACTCAGACGGCCTGGTTTCTGAGTATAAATCGTTTGTGTATAAATTTATTCAGCAGCTCCCGGTTGTAAAAACAAAAACAAAAAAACAAGCAAACAAAAAAAAAACCTTGCTTTGGTTGCCATGGTTAAAATAACAGAACAAAAACAATCCTTCCATCGACTCGCTGCGTTTTCTTTTCTGAAATCCTTTGAAAGATGAGCTTCTAAAGCAAGTCGCTGAATTGGTTTTACGCGGTTACTTAAATTTCAATCAGATCAAATTAAAACCCAAAGGCATGTGGAGAAGAAAAGACTTCCTGAACTGGAACAATCCCTGAAGGATTTGGGTGGATCCAGGGACGCCGGCGCCATCGTTGGGTCTGCCACATTAGGTATAGCTTTGTGACTCGTACAGTAAAAATCCTCCACGTTGACTTGAAACAAGCAGGCAGATAGAAGCTCCTCCTATTTGATGACGTGCTAAAGCGGGTGAGGTGCTGCCCCCCGTTGGCCAGTTACTGGAACAAACAGCGTGATGAAGCAGAAAAGACGATGGAAGCACGTTTAGATTCAATGCACTATTTGGCATAAATCTTTCACGTTGAATCGTTTTCTTTGCTCCACTTGGCCAGTTTCCTTTTGCAGATAAATTCAAACATGGAAGACTGCGGCTAAATGTTGTTTGAAACAGAAATAATTCAGAAAAGGCTGAATTACTGGGAACATTCCTCCAGTGAGCTCTCATCCTTCCTCCCCAGTAAGGTGGGTTTTCTTAGGGTACATTTCTACATTTTCATGAAAAGAAAACCCGATTACAGAACATCCTTCAGGAAACTTTCTGTGTGGTGAAGTAATGTCAGGAATCTATCTTTCCGTGTGCAGTGGTCCTGTTGCTGTTGGACCATCAGGACTGAATGTCCTCTCTAGCTTTATCATTGAAACGTAGCCC